GCTGGCTGGGCTCCTGGCACAGATTCACTTTTAATATCTCACCCAGATTAGCTGGCTGAATTGCCACCAAAGGAAAGTGAAAGCATTTGCAAAATCCTTATCAGGACATAGGAGATTACATGTTCAATGAGTTTAATGTGCTCGGAGGCCGGTCACTAATGGAAACCTAGTAGTCATTAATTGTCATTAAAAAACTTTGTTAATTACCATTAAGCACTATAGAACTTTGTTAATGAAAAAAGAGAAACCTTTGTTAATTGCTATCAAATACTTAAGAGGAAGCTGGGGGGTATTTCTCCTTTCATTGCTTTCTAGTATAAATTAATAATAAAATTTAGAAGATTAGAGGCTGGACATGGTGGCTTACATTTGTAATCTCAGCATTTTGGGAGGCTGAGGCAGGAGGATCCTTGAGGCCAGGAGTTTGAGACCAGTCTGGCCAACACAGGGAGATCCTGTCTCTACAACAAATTAAAGAATTAGCTGGGTGTGGTGGCACGTGCCTGTAGTCCCAGATACTCGGGAGGCTGAGGTGTGAGAATCGCTTGAGTCCAGTAGTTGGTTTCAGTGCACTGTGATCATGCCACTGCACTTTAACTTGGGCAGCAGAGCAAGACCCTGTCTCTAAAGAAGAACAAAAAAATTAGAGAATGATTGGACATAAACGTATATAGAAATCACGTATCTGTTATGAGGCAAGAATAGTTGGGGAGTTACCTGATTCTCTTTGATAAGTCTAGTCATTAGTTTGAAAATGAGGCATTGACAATCCATATTCTTAGGCTGGGTCACCCTGATAAACATGACCCAATCAAGTTTCTTTCAGCTCTTTGGTTGTGAACAAGTGACTATGCCCTGTGAGCTGCAAACAAGGAGAACCGAATATTCCTGAACAGTCTACGTGGCATTAAAATAAAATCCAACAAATGCAAATGGTGCATATTTGACAATTGTGTAGTTATGGTCCTGCAAGGTAATTAGACACAAAGGGTAGGCATTTAATCAACGATACAGTAGCATTATCATTACCTAGTCAAACCAAAATGTTAGTTTTTCTTCTCTTGTTGTTTAAAAAATATCTATTGCTCATTGTCAGTATCGTGGTTTTTACCAAAACCCTGTAGTTTAAGCCTAAGCCTGTGTGAGCTCCTTAACATTTATATACATTTTAAAAGACCGAAGTCTTGGCTCAGATTTCCCAACATCAAAGCTTCTTTTTGACTTAAGCTATTTTCAGTTCCTCACGCTTAAATCACCCTATGATTCTGTCTCAGACCAAATATTTTCTCCTTTGTCTGCCTGCACTTTTGTCCATCAACACAAACCTGCCTTAGGCTTTCTTCGGTGGTGGGACCATCTAGCTTTCTCGAAGGGGTATTTGGAGTGGAAATCCTATTGCCCAAAGCAGTGAGTGATCAGTGTCAGGAATGACAGTATCACACTGCTTTCTGGGTTTAGGGTTCAGAAAAACCTACACCAGAGTGTGGGCTTGAGGGAAGGGTGAGAAGAGATGGAATGGGAGAATGGGTCCATTTCCTGTAATGAGAGGGGCAGAGGAATGGACAAGAGCAAGGTTGCAGCCTGGAAGAGCTTCATCCAGATTCATCACTGGCGACAGGAGATGGTGTAATGTCCTCGAGAAACATTCACTTTTCTCTCCAGGCCCAATTAAAGCAAAGCAAATTTACTTTCTTGCTATAAAGCTCAGCCTTAAAGGTATGTAGCCATAGCCACAAACTCTTTGGCTCTCTGGGGGACACTTCCTTTAATGGGGAGAAAGTTCTTCTGTGCCATATAACCACTGACCTGAGAGAAGCCTGTTTACGATGTAGGGTTATAGGACCGCCGGCCAACATAGAACATGGCTAAAGTCGGGGCCTCTCTGTTTTGATGGGGAGGAAGGTGAAAGGGCAATCCTTACACTTCACATTTTATGGCTCAGCAAAACTTCAAAACAATTTTGAAGAAGAAAGGGGCTTATTAGGTTGCCTGGTCAGGGGTGGGAGTGAGGGGCAGAAAACCTCCTTTCAGCAGTATCATTTCAAGAAACAAAGGACTTTTAAAACACTAAAACAGTCAGAAGGACAAATTCTCAGAAAAAAAAGGACAGTCCTTTAAATGGAATATAATTAGCTTTATAAAAAGACTTCCTATATCATCCTAATCTTTCTTTGCCAAGGTCAGGTGCTCGGTGGGTCCCATTGGATTGGAGGGCCCTGGGTTTCTGAACAGTGGGGAAGGATCACAGGAGCAAGAGCTGGGGGTGAGGAAAACAAACTCATTAACATTTGGCCTGGGTGGAAGTTAACAATCATGTCTTGCCCTGAGGGTGGGCCCAAGTGTGAATGTTGATTCTAAAAGCAGTTTTCCAAATTTTTGGACTTGTTATATGACATACCTTTGTATTCTGTATTGCCAGCTAGCTGCCGGTTTTCCAGTAATGGTTAGATTGATCTTACAGAGTCTTCCTTAGGGTTTATTATCATTTTGCTGTTTTCATAAGTACGAGAAGGTCTATCATGTTGGTAACTTGTGTCAGGAAAGACTTCTTCCCTTCTAGGTATGTACCCAGCTCTCATTTGTGTAACCAAGGGGTATTATCATCAACTCTTGCCCTTTTGCCTTTGGATTGTATTATGATGGGCTTTTTTTTTTTTTAATTAGTAAAGCGTTTGCATTTCCTGACAGTGTGCCACTTGACAGAAGGTTTAAGTGTCTCAGAGAATAGTAATCAGTGGCAAATCAGCTCGTGTCTGAATGTGGCTGTTGGCAATCTACTAGAGGCTAATTGAAAGTTTGTTGTGCTCATTTTATTTATGGGTTTCTAGGTGATTGCCAAACTCCCGATTGGGACCCCAGATTACATGGCTCCTGAAGTGTTGACCGTGATGAATGGGGACGGGAAGGGCACCTACAGCCTGGACTGTGACTGGTGGTCGGTGGGAGTGATTGCCTATGAGATGATTTACGGGCGATCTCCCTTCACGGAGGGAACTTCAGCCAGAACCTTCAGTAACATCATGAATTTCCAGGTAAGAGTCATTGGTAGATTTTCAAGTAATGTTGAGAAATGTCATTTAAAAATTGTGTGAATGAATGTTTATAGGTAAATCAGCAGTACTGGAAAAATAATAACAGCAAAGTAAGTAACATGCGCAAAGTAACACAGACAGTCTGGTTCTGAAGTCCGTGGTCTTCTTAGTAGTATCAGATGTGGTAGTAAAATTGCATGAGGATATGAATTAGAAATATAGTTTTCTGTATATATTTTCTATATACATGTCTATATATATGGTAAAATTTAATCTGTTTTCTAATAACTACTTTTCACTATATTAAGCCCATAGCC